TGTGTAGTAATTTTCTAAATGCACAAGAAATTGGAACACAGCCCATAACAATCTTCATGATTCATGCACACATAGTTACTATCTGCTCTTCCATTATATTAATGCATGGAACGACATATATTCAAGTCTTTAACATGTTATACTGCATTGGCCTTACAGGGACACTTCCTGTATTTTGCTCCGAAGTCATTTTACCAACCTGCTCTTTTTCTCGGGGGACAGGTTGATGAGTTTATCTCCTTTGTTTCCATATTTGATGGATGAAAAACTGCTTGTTCTCTTTGAAGAATAACTAGTAGCAATTAGCCCTAAACACACACCATGACAAATCTTAAAATAAATATGAAAAACTCAACCATCCATGCTTTTGATTAACACATTGTGACCGTAAAAATATAGTCATCTGCAGTGATGAAAGTTAATTGACTGAAAACAACCAGATGATAAGGCACCAGACCGGCTTGTTTCGAAGGAACAGGAGATTCAAAAAGACAATCTGTCAATGACATACAGTTAAATATTTTTTCCCCCCCGACTTTGTGTAGTCAATATATCTGAGAAAATAGATGAAGGAATTCATTATTCATCTGGGATAAAGACGTGGATCTGAGGAAACAGACACAAATACGACGGTGATTACTACAGCAAGAAATACTCAGTTTCTGATCATTTGCAGTTTTTATCCAAGTCACCATCTGTCATATCTTTGCTCACAAGCCCTGCCCTAGTTATGAAAAAAAAGTCTAACGCTTGTGTGTTTCTAATTGGCTGATGTTGTAACTTGTTTGCCCTGTCTGACCTGCATTGTGCTGCCAGCAGTCTAAATTAATTAACATGGCTTTGAAATTGATCTCAAAATGCAAGTCTGGGAAATTGCTGGGGATGAATGCTAGTGTTGTTAGCATTTCTTGTCAGATATTACCACAGTTAATCAAAACAGGCTTATTTTCAGGGATAGCACCATGTTGTTGTGTTACTGGGCTTCAGATTCTGCTGTGGATGTTTGGTGGGCTGCTGATGGCACATTGGAACACAGCAGTCAGTTCCAGTGGTGTTTTGGTATGCATGACAATAGTGTTTCCAGGGTTGAAGAGAGCAAGACAACCTTTCCGAAATTGAAGGACGTTTCTTTTTTTTGCAGACCATGCAAATCAGAATGTGTGTGCCTCATTGGTAGCAGACGTGCAGGAAGGGAGGGATCAGAGAGGCTCCTTGTCGGCGCAATTGTGTGACTCTTAGTGAAAGTGACACCTCATCAATTCTGTGCATATTTCTGGCACTAGCTCAGCATGCTTAATGCTCTAATTTCCCACTTTTTACGTTTCAGGTATCTCAGTATTCTGGTAGGTTAGAGCTGCTAATTTGTATTTGATATATTTCACCACACAGATTGGTGGTGGCTTCATTTTCTCTTTTGTTTCATAACCAACATCTTCTGGTTATTGGCCAGTCATTTTTCCCCCTGTTTGATTTAAGAGGTCCTATTATGCTTTTTGGGGTTTTCCCTTTCCTTTAGTGTGTTTATATAGGTTTGTGTGCATGTAAATGGTCTGCAAAGGCTGAAATCCCAAAGTTCCCTCCAAAGGAAGCTTCTCTCCCACACAGTAGAGACACAGAATACAAATATGAACCTGAAAATGAGCATACTAGGGCCCATTTAAAAATAGACCTATCATAAAGTAAATACTTAGACTAGAGACTGCAGCTTGGAAAACAAAACAACAAAATAAATGGATTTATTTTACTTGGTTGACTTCTTTACAACTCTAACTTTTGGAGAGCTTGAAATAAAAGCCTTTACTTGCCTTTTTTAGGCTTTATTCTGTGCTCGCTCATGTATCCACTGGTTCCCACGGAAGCTATTATTTGTATTCCTGACACGGCAAAACAAATGTAGAGCTTGAAGGAATAACCATAAAGGGTCTGTTGTTCCTTTCCCATTCAGCCCACTTCTTTTTGCATTTTACATTATTTCCACCTTGTTCAAAATGTGGGATGATTTAGTTTCATTCAAGAATAGCTACGCACTTCATTTTACATTCAGTTAAAAAAGATTGCGGAAACAGCTTGCTGCTCGAAACTTTAATCTGGGAGGAGAGTGAGTGGGGGGGGGTGTTGCTGGTGAGGTGAAATGCAGCTAATGCAGAGCTATTCATTTCCATTCTTATTCTCATGATTCCCCTGTGTCGTTTTATGAGAGGAATGTGTGCAGGAATACATTTTAAGCATTTACTGGAAAATTAGATAAACCAATTGAATCAAAATGCAAGGGAGGGGATGGGAGTTTAGAGGGGTTGAATCGTCATTGAATCATGAGCAGCGTGCAAGGTATGGATATCAGCCGTCAAATTATCAATTGGAGAGAAGTACCTGGCAGTGCTTGAGAATTTACAGAGGAAAAACAAGGTGTTATTAAAACAGACTAAAGGAGGCCGTGATTGAAATAATACAAAATGCGGAAATGATCTGACATTTCTTTGATTTCTAACATGCTAAAATG